AAAAAAAAAAGGAAAAAAGGCTCATTTCCTGACACAGATGATAGTGACAGGGCAGACTAGAAAGGGATCATTGTTGGAACAGGTCCTGCTGATAGGCTCTGGAAGCTTATTTAAGGGAGGTTGTTACTAGCAGAGGGTAAGGAAAGGGCTTCTAAGGAGATACTAAGTAAGCTCATTCTTTTTTGAGACATACTTCACTCTGTCACCCTAGGTAGAGTGCTGTGGCATCATAGCTCACAGGAATCTCAGACTCCTGGGTTCAAGGAGTGATCCTCTTGCCTCAGCCTGGCACTTGTAGCTGGCACTACAGGCACCTGCCATGATGCCCAGCTAGTTTTTCTATTTTTGGTAGAGACAGGTTCTTCTTTTTGCTCAAGCTGGTCTCCAACTCCTGTGCTCAAGCAATCCTCCTACCTCAGCCTGCCAAATGCTGGGGTTACAGATATGAGCCAAGTTAAGCTAATTCTTTAGAAAAGATAAAAAAGTTTTGGTCTGGTGGAGAACTAGGGGACGGTGAATCACATGAACAGACGTGATAGATACTGAATCTAGGTAAAGTATAACAACTAGTGTGATTTGACTGGAATCAAAGACTTGGCAGGGAAGAGGGAGGTGGCAAGGTACTGTTGGAGCTGGGGACCAGAGTCTTTCTTCAAAAGCCCAACTAAAGCATAAAAGAAAGTTACTGAAAGTTTTGCCTAGTAGCAGAGGCTGTGCAGGTTAGTTAAAATGATGGGAAAGAACGGTGGCAAGTGGACAGGGAAGGTAGAGTTAAAGCTCAGGTGGCAGTGGCAGTGGGTGGAGAACAGGGGATGCAAGAAATCCTTCAGGAGTTGATTCATCAAGGCTTGCTGATTGATCAGATTCTCTCCTTGAAGAGGAGTCTGTTAGGCATGTGGCCTTGGAAGCCTTTGAAGAAGGGGACAATATGGGTAGCTGTAGCTGACTTTCGGGGGCTGCTCTGCTGGTAATGAAGTAAGATCATAGTGCTGTGTTTTTCAGGCTTCTTTAGGAAAACAAAAGTACCATAAAAATATTGGTTGTCAAATAAAATTTCTGAGGTTCCCAAGTATTGTGCAATATTCTTAGAAAATTTGATGTTGAAATCTTTTTTTTTTTTT